AGCCAATGCTTTCATCTGACACTCAAGCCCCCCACCCTATGTCTTGAGTCCTGATTTTACTTATGTACCTTATAGAAACTGTGTATTCTCCCTTCAGTGTATTCCTGCCTTTCCCCATTTTGTTCATGTAAACCTAGCAGGACCTCTCCCTTAGTTTTCTCCAGTTGAAATGGTACTGGGTCATCTAAAATTCAACCAGCTATGCACTCTCCTTTTAACTCTCCTTTAGTTAGCACTTCTTTACTGATACTTCTGATAATCTGTCAGTGGTTATCTGTTTAGTGGTTTTCTCCTATCCTCCATTATAGTATAAATTCCTTGAGCACAGGAATTATATCTTCATTTTTGGTGTGTCCCAAAGCACCTTAAATGAAGACAGTAGCTCCTTAAATACTTGAATAAAAGAATGATGGTGAGTGCCAACTTCTTTTATTTATTTATTTTTAGAGCTACTAATGACTCAGTTTCAGGAATGAATACTGTGCTAAGAAGGTACAGGTGCCAGGTTACCCAAGTGTCATAGCTTATTTTTTCCCTCACTCTCCACTTTCACTCTGTCAACAAATCCTGTCAGCTCTACCTCTTCAAAATATCTCTAATTAAACCTCTTTTCCCTCTGCTTACTTCTACCTCCGTAGAACAACCTACTAATCTCTCCTACCTAACAAGCCTTTTCAACTGATCTCTGACTCCTGCTCCTAAATTTGTCAGCCAAGTAAGATTGTTAGAAAACTTTGATCATCCTATTTCACTGAGACTAAAAGGTAGACCACTTACTCTGGTCTTAGAAAACTCCAAGATCTGGTCTATGCACTTCCCAAACCCCATCTCCACTAATGTCCATCTTGCTCATGAGGCTCCAGCTTGGCTGAATGTTGGCCTTTCCTCATCACCAGGTTTGCTCAAAACGGAGTATGTAGGCTCTATTGTTTCTATTGAGGTCCAGGCTCTTGTTGGCTCTTGTGTGGGGCTCTGTGTCTGTAGCAGTGGAGATGACTTGGGGAGTGGTCAGAAGTAGTTCTAAGGACTCTGAGACTTGACTCTTGGGAAAATCAGAGTCAAGTGCCTGAAAAGTACTATGTCCAATAACTACTGGGTGTGAGCTAAAGGAGATAATGTGTTTAACGAAGGAAAGCTTGTGTTGTTCCCACTGTCTCCTTCCCAAGTGATGCTATAAATATTACTGATAGAAACCAGAGCTGAAGGACAAACAACCTCCACCTTCTTTATCACTTTGGGCGTGGGTTGAGGAAATTGGGCATCCTGGCAAAAGCTTTAAAGCCATCTGTTGAGTCAGATGGTGTTCTGTGTAATGCTGTTTTCTCCACGTGCACCTCTGAAGCTTCCCTCAGCCGTCTTCTATCAAACCATAGCTTTCGTGCATGCAGAGGGAAGGAAAAGACTTCTTTTGTTATTCGGATTTTTTACTTGCTCCTCTTCCTTCTAGAAGTTGAAAATTTTGCGCCATCCATCTTCTTACCTTTATGATCATTGACAAGAAACAGTCTATGATGGCTGTGTTTTACCAGACTGTGTATAGAGAAAAGCTACACATGAGAATTATGAGTACTGTGTTTCTAAACTACTAGTCACTTTTCTAATCCCTCAAACTTGAAAGCCTCTCCCAGGTCATGCATATGGTTACTTCTGTCCAACTTTCTGTGGAAAAAGACATGTCTCATGTTTTGGAGACCCCACTGGCCAGGCATGGCGTTGTATACCTGTAATCCCAACTTCTTGGGAGGCCAAGGGAGGAAGATCACAGTTCAAAGCTGCCTGGGCAAAAAACATAAGACTATCTGAAAAATAACTACAGCAAAAAAGGGGGGAGGGCATGGCTCAAGTTATAGAGTACCAGCCCAGCAAGCACGAGACCTTGAGTTCAAACCCCAGTCCTCCCAGAAAAAAAAAGATCCTACTATAAAAATGTAGTAATAAAAACAGAAGGTTAAATGCAATGGCCGCAGTCAGATGAAGTTATTGCTCCCTACTTAAAAAGCCTCCTGACACATACAGTGCAGAATTTGAAGGGTCTTTATTTCCACTCCACATTCCTTTCCTTTCTTATTCCCTACCCTGGATTTCTTTATAGCTGGAGATGGATTTATACAGAAGAACTTGACCCAACTATCCAGAGGGAAGGGGAAGGGAGGGGGAGGTAGAGAGGCATAACTGGGCACCAAAACTTCCTTGTCTAGAAAGTGTCTGTCTCTTCGATGACCCAGATTATAGTTCTCCAAGACAGATGACAAAGCTATTATTCTAAAAGTCTCTTTAAAATCACCCCCCAGCACACACACACCCCTCCCCGTTGGTTGGGTTTGTAATAAGGAAGGCTGCAAGGTCCCCCAGCCAGCAGTGAACAGGCAGCTTTTCCCCTCCTCTGTCAGATAAACAAGCCATGCATTGTTCTGCGCGCATCCCCCCACCCCCATCTGCAGGCTTCCCTTCCTGCCTAGTAGCCAGAATACTCTTGGTCTCCTTCATATGGGGCAGGTGGAATGTGCTATTTGGGGGGAGGCTACAAGAGCCACAGAAAGTAAACAGAGCTAATCACAACACTCTTTTGTGCTTCTTATCCAAACACTTTCAAGAAGAGGAAGGAGCCTATATCACATTTTGGCCCAGACCTCAGACTCAGCACAGCCCCAAGTTACAAGAGTCACGTTCGCTTCTTGCCCTGAGTTGGGCAGAGTTGTGGTTTTCTTTCTGACCCTCCTCTCCCATTTAGTGTCTCTTGGGGACTCCACTGAGAGCTAGGTTCAAAGACATGTGGTACTGTCAGAAGATATTGAGGTGATAGCCAAGTAGAGCAGCTGGATAGTGACTCCTTCCACAATTGTTCTCTATTTCCCCTCACTTCTCTCAATGGTCTTTAGAAAGAATCTTTTGGGAGCCACTTTCTGGCTGATCTGCCACTTCTGCCTGCACACACCCATCCCTTACACCAAGTCCTTGCCTCTGAATACTTAGAAAAGAAGCAGCCATCTTTACCTTGGCCCAGCCATAGGAGGTTATACTTGGTAATGTGACCTGGAACTCAGTTCTTCTAAGTAACAGAGTGTTCCTTTCCCCCTACCTCATCTTCCAACCTCTTCTCACATTGGCCAAGGTGCTGCTCAAGTGCTTCTTTTATCTTCCCTTGCCCATGGATTTTTTGAGTGTATGCTGTCTGTGCCCACCTGCCTAACACCTCATCCAGGAATTACTCAAGTCTCATGTCCCACCCTACATCAGCCAGGTTTATGAACATTGTTTCCTCAGCTTCAGCTAGCCACTGACAGGATCAGACTGCTGTCCAACTAGTTGCTCTCTATTTTGCTAGGACGTGGGGGGTGCAAATGCCATCAGGCAAGCTCTTGGTCGCTGAGTAGAAGGAGGAAGACATTTGGCAACCAGAAGATCAGGGAAGGCTGGGCACCCAGGCCTGGGTACTGATGGGAGAAGAAACTGTTTATACTGGTGCTTTCTTGTTCCAGGGATCGTTCTCTAGTATATTGCTACTCTAAATGTGGTTTTCACAGCAGCAGCAATAGCACTGCGGAGCTCCTTAGAAAGGCAGAGCCTGGGCCCTGCTCTTGACCTGCTAAATCAGAATCTGCATTCTAACAAGACCCCCCACCCCCAGTGATCTGCATGTGGGTGAAAATTTGGCAAGCACTGCTGTAGAGTACTAGGTTTGGCTTTGTCTTTCCCTCACTAGTCCCTCTTTCATGTCTGGATTGAAGAAATGCATTTTCCTGGTACAGTACTGTGCACATTGTTATTTTGGGTAAAGGTTAATATTAATAACAGATACAGTTCATCGAGTGCCTGTCACATACCAGGCATATTTTACAGATGAGGAAATTGAGGTTCTGTGACATGCCCAACCAAGGCCAAACAACTAGTGAGAGGTGAAGCTGAGTCTCCAGGCCAGATCCATATGCCCCCCAAACCCTCAAACTTTCTCCAATATGGTACCCTTATAAATTGATCAAATCAAGCCAGGTTTCCTGTGAGGTCCAGCAGAAAGAGAGAGGAAGGGACCTCCAGGCATGATTTCCCAAGAGAGGAAAGGCCCTAGCATACTTTTCATCCTGAGGGAGCTTGCGTAAGCCCTCATAGGAGCCAGAAATTGTTGGAATTGAGGCCAGAGGCCAAGGGAAACTGGTGGTAGGATTGTGAAAGGAAAACCCTACCTCGTTGTCCTTAAGAGAAATTAAATTCTCCTGCTGGTACCTGGGAGGAAAAAACCATGGAGGGCTGCTCTGGGTTCTGGGTAGCTCCAGGCGTTAGCCTAGGAGCACTACATCATACTATGCTACAGTTGGGAGTCTCATTTGTGATGACTGAGTTCAGTATTTTTATTTTTCAGAGAGGAAACAGAAGCCCAGAGAAGGGGAGTGCGTTGCCAAATCAGAGTAAATTTTTGGCAGCTCCAGGGACACTGACCCCAAGTGCCACTCGCTATTCCAGTGTTGCTAGTTGGTACCTATTTCTGGAGTTGGAGTCTCTGGTGTGAAACTGAATTTTCTTTGGATCTGCTCAGTTGCCCATTGGAAGTGAAAAATTTGTAAATACAGCCCAAAGCTTTTCTAAGTCTTTGTACCTCAGCAGGATACAATTTCACCTTGGACAATTTCTAAGTCACTTGCCCCCAGCTTTATAAAATCAGCAGTAATGCCACTCCTCTAGATCTGGAGGCTTTGGACCTAGCTGATCTGGGCTTTCTTTTTCTGGGACCCTGAGGACCTGCGGAGATGGCTGGGTGGGGTCAACTCAGTTCAGGAAGTGCAGGAATTCTTTTAAGTGTATGTGTCTGGGATATTTTTCTCTCTCACTTACGTGTATTTTTAAAAATTCTTTTTAGACACTAGCTTTATCTTTCCCAAACATCATTTCCTTGCTCCTTTCCTGAGTTCTAGCAGTGGCTGGGGCCCCAGCTTCCTTATTGGCCTCTGAGCTGTGGAGGAGGTGGGAGTCAGGAACAGGGGGGCTGTTTATGCTACTGGAACTGCCTTCCATCCTTCCATTCGCCACCAGGGTGCTGGCTGGCTTCTGGAGCAGCATCTTCACCTCTATCCAGCTCCTGACACTGACTTTCATTCCCTAAGGCTGTGGCCACATTGAGGCCCGGCCAGGCTGGTGACCATATCTTGCCACCAGTGTTATTCCTTCCTGTTCTTGGAACTGGGACTTGACAGTGCCTGAGCCCCTCAGATGACACTTGGGATCTTGGGCTGATGACCCCACACCCCAGGAGGTCTTAGAGGGCAGATGGGTCCCAGCTAAGAGAGGACGCTGGCTGGAGGGTTGTTGGAGAATGTGAACTAGCTGGATACATCATTCTCTCCTAAGCCATCTCTCCACCCTGGGCAATTTCTGTGGTAGGTACAGCCAGTAGCCATGGCTACCATGGCTGCTGCCTCTCTTTCCCCCTCCTGCTTGCTTTCTTCAATGTCTTTTTGTTTTGTTCCTCCTAAGAAAGGTATTTGGGGGTAATGAATGATGGAGTGTGTTGACTGATAGTGTCTGAGCCAGCCTTAGGTGAAAGGGAAAGGGCTGGAGTCATTGTCCCCATATTTGGGTCTCTACATGATCGGTGGTTGAAATTTTCTTTTTTTACCTCTCTTCTTATCTCTCCTCATCTCCTTTCCCTACTACCTAAGGAACAGATGGTTTCAAATATAGGGCTACTGACACCTTCCTTTTTGGTCTGCTTTTTGTGGGAATGGCAAACCTCAAGTGTACCAGCTTTCTGAGACAGATCCCTTTGGGGAGGAGGGGTCATGCTGTATCCTAGAAAGAGCTGGAAGATATGAGTCTTAATCCCAGCTCTGCTGGTTATAAGCTGTGTGCTCTTGGCAAATCAGTTAAACTTTCTGCACCTCTGCTTTTCATCTATAAAGTGGGGATAATAATAATTTTTATGAATAAGGTTGGAGTGAGGATTAAACTAGCTAATGCATGTGAAGTGCCTAGTGCCTGGCACACTGTAAGTGTTCAGTAAATGCCCCTGTTGTATTATGGGTTTTTTAAAAAAAATTTATAGAATATATACGTCAGGCACTATGCCAATTGATTTCATCATGGCATTGCATTTAATATAGACCATAACTCATGAGGAAGAGGTCGTCATCTTCCCTATTTTATAGATAAAGATCTATAACTCAAGGGGCTGGAGATATATCAGTGATGGAGTGTTTGCTTAGTATGCACAGACCCTGGGCTTGATCCCCAGCACCTACCCCAAGAAGAATCTGCAACTCATAGAAATGACTACCTAAAGTCACACAATTGAATTTCTTTGCAGTGAGTCAAAGGAAATTTGGGAATAATAATACATCAAATATTAGACCATACAGAAACTTTCTTCTCTTTCTCAAACTAGGGTTAGAAGGCTCCGTTTCTGGTTCCTGTTTTCTCTGCTGGGATTTTCCTTCTCTCAGCCTTCCATTTTTCTCCCAGTGTCCCTAAAGTCCCCACTGCTCTCCTCTGTCTTTTGGGATTGTTTCCTACTCCTGGAGAAACCCTAGAGAGAGTAAAGGACCTATGTGAGCAACCTCTCAAAGTGTTCCAAGGGAGTGGTAGAGCAGAACCTTGACTGTAGATGGTCAGGTACCCTGGGAGGGGGTACTCTTGAGCTGTTGAAAGGGACAAGTTTGAACTGATAACCATTATTGCAGTACCTGCTAGTCACTGACCACTTGCTATATGCACCAGACTGTTTCCAAGATGCTTTGGGAATACTCTGTAACCCTAACAATAACCTAGCCAGGTAATAACTGTTGTTCCCCTTCTCAAATGAGAAAAACCAAAGCTCAGATGGTTTAAGTGGCTCACATAGACCCACACATCTAAAATGGTAGTTAGGATTTGAATTTAGATCAGTCTCATTACTTACAGGCTTGGTATAGTTGGTAGGATAAAGCTGATATACATGAAATGATGAACAATATATAATAGTACGTTTTATGGGCTGAGTTGTGAGGGCTAGATTACTTAGGACAAGCTCCCTGGAGTAGATAGCACTCGAGCAGTATGGTGAAGAACAGGCTAGATTTGGATAAACAAAAGGGGAGGGGCATTCTGGGTGGAGGGACCCGTCATAGTAATGACTGTTACCGGTTGAGGGCTGGCTAGCCCCAGTTCTAAGTTCTTGACATACATTGTGTCATTTGCTCTTTCAACAACTCCATAACGTAAATGCTCCTTTAAAACTATTTTTCCTTATTTTCTTTAAGTTGTACATGTTTATGACCTCATTTCCATGGCAGTAAAATGGGGTTCTGAGATGTGAAGTTACCTGTCTAAAGCAACAGAAGCCAATAAGTGGTAAATTTTGGATTCAACCCAGTGTTGTCTAACCCTAGAGCCTGAGATAGATTCTACTAGAAAATCAATGGCAAAGACACAATGTCAAAAAGGGAGAAAGCCATGTGCAGAGTATAATTGGAACAGACATGAGAGGCTGAGATGGGCTAAAAGGTAGTTTGCAGAGGCTCTGAGGGTCTGATTGAGCTTACATTTAAGCAGGTCAGGCTAATAAATAGGAAACCAGAAGATTCTTGAGTAGGATTGTGCTCCCAATTCAGTTGGTGTTTAACATGGTAGGATTTAAAAGTAGTGACTGGAGGTAGAATAAGAAGATACTGGCTGGCAGGTGGATGCAATATTTTGAACACAAAATGTTGAGGGCTTAGACTAGAACAGGAGATGAAAATGGTAGATTCTGGGAGGAAAGCTGTGACTCTATGTGAGGGTCACAGAATGGATAGGGAGAAGGAAGGGAGGAGGGGAGAGGGAAGGAAGGAGGCAAACCAGAGATACATCTTAAAAAGAAGGCTCAGTAGAACTCAGCATGGGGTTAAACAGTTGAGAAGTTGGTATCAATGCTGACTACCCACATTTTATATCCTGGACTCGGAAGAATGTCAGAATCCTGGCTGTGGACGAAGGGCCTGAAATAAGACAGGTGCCCCACATAGCCTCAGTGGCTAGAAGTGCACAATATATAGACCTGGTAGTCCACAGTACTACTTCTGGGAGATGCTTGAGAAACAGGTGTTGACCACATGAGCACTGGGCAAGAGCAGCTGGAGAGGACTTTGTGTATGGACTCCAAGCAAGCATAGTCACAAGGCCTTCTTGCGCCTTGTGCCTCCCCATGGGCACTCTCCAGTCTGCAACAGAACAATGCTATTGCGAAGGTGGGGGCCTCACCTGGCTTTCCTCCCCATAAATCTTAGCTACTGCTGCTGACCTGTGGCTCTGACCTTTGACAAGCAGCTTCCTCTTCCCTTCCTCCTGCACCTCTTTGTCTGTGTCTGACTTGTTACCTCTCAATCCCTGTGTCCCCAGCAAGGCCATGCTCCTCAAGACTACCTTTTTAGGACTTAGCTTTACACTGCCAGGATCTTCTGTATTTCCGCTGGGGTGAGGGGCATTTCCAGCAGGGATGGAGTCCAGCTTGACTCTGTCCACCACTGCTCTGCAGAGGTTGAGAGCTTGTTTATCCCACTGTATCCCACTTGTTGAAAACAGAAACCCTTATCTGTAGCATCAAATCCTAGTATGGCGCCTGGCATAGTAAATGTGACTAAATTAGTAAATAATTAGAGAATAAAGTAGTAAATAACCTATCATCTATCTACTTCCTTTTTACTATATATTTCTCTGCAATCTTTCTCTGAGTTTTCTCCCTTTCTGTCACTTGTTTTCTCCTCTGTCATCTCTCCTTCTTATCTCTAGCATATGCTTGGTTCTTCTGCCCTTGCTCTCTCCCTGTTGTCTCTCTGCTTTCTCCCTATCATTCCCACTTGCCTCCCTCTCCCTCTCCTATTCATGGTCCCTTATTCTTCACCTCCTGGCACTTACTCATGCCCCATGTGTGCTGTTCCCCACTTGCAAGAGGGACATCTATTTATGTGAAATATACCAGGGGACAGGGCCGGGTCCTATACAAGCCAGTCAGTGTAAGAGTTGTGGCCACAGCCTCCAGCACCAGACAGATCCCCGGGCTGCATTTGAATCTCGACCTCAGACCTTTTCCCTTATTCACCCCTGACCTGCTGAATAGCCAGTCTCCTCTGTCAGCCTATGCCATTCACCACTTTGTTCTATTTTACCTCACAGGAGTCAGGACTGCCTGCCACACCACTTTGCTTGCAAATTCAAGTGTGTCACCTCTGTGTTCATCTTATCCTTCACTCTCAGTGCCTTTACCATGCTCTATTTGAATGAGCCCTGTCTTTCTCGTCAATCTGAAGCTGTCAAGGGCAAAACCTATATTTGGTTCATATCTGTACCCCCAGAACTGACTCATTCAAACTTCTTAATCACTTGCTTCTTCCTTTTGCAGAGAAAATGGGAAGAGTGGCCATATTGGTTCTTTCCTCAAAGAGGAGTGAGGGCAGGCTCACTGTTCATTGGTCAGAAGTGCTCATGTATTCCACAAATATTTATTGAGCATGTACTATGCGCTTGGCATTGTTACAGGATACTTTCATGAACAACATAGCACTGTGAAGCTGGCATTCTGTAGCTCTAGGAATCCCCCCTCCCCAGGATTAAGGAAATTTGAGTACTGGGGGAGGGGGGGCTACTCAAACTCCCACACCAGCTCCTTGGAAGATGTTCTACCACAGTGAAGGGAAAGAGGGGGTGGGGCGGAAGCTGCCTGCGAAGTGATTTCAGCCCTGGTTCCATAAACCGACTTCCTGTCCCTTTCTGGCTGTAGGAGAAACGCCCCTGTCAGTAGGCCGCACTCATGGCATGTGGCCAAACTGCTGGAGGGATGCCCTGAAGCGGCCACCGCCATGCATTTCCCTTCTGAAGCCTTCAGCTTGTCCTGGCATTCTGGTTGCAATCCAAGGTGAGTCTAGGGCCCCGTCCTCAGGTGGGCTGGAGGGTGGGAAACCTTGTCACTCCTCCTCTGCTCTGGTTGGATGTTTTAGAGCCAAGAGCGGTATAATGGAAGTCTAAACTACCTGAGTTCTTGTCTGAGTAACTGTACTGCTAACTCTGTGTGACTTTGACACTGTCCCTTTCCTTCTTGACAGTGTTTCCTTGAAACACTTCATTTGGCCTACAAGATACCATACCGCCCTGCTTCTTGTTATGTTTCACTAGCTGCTCTTTCGCAGTCTCTTTTCCTGATTCCTTCCTTCTTTCCCTCAGTCCCATCCCCTGTCCCCCTCATTGGCGGTACATGGTTTGAACTCAGGGCTTCACACTTGCTAGGCAGGTGCCACTCTACCACTTCAGTGGTTCCTCCAGCTCTTTTAGCTCTGGTTATTTTGGAGGTATTGCTTTTTTTTTTTTTTCTTTTTTTTTTTTGCCCAGGCTGGCCCAGACCACAATCCTCCTGTCTTATGCTTTCCCCTGTTGTGGGATGACAGGTGCATGCCACCATGCCCAGCTTTTTTCCATTGAGATGGGGTCTCGCAAACTTTTTTGCCTGGGAAGGCATAGAACTGTGATCCTCCTGATCTCAGCCTCCCAAGTAGATTAGGATGCCAGGCTCAATGCCACTGTACCCAGCTGTTGGTTAAGATGGGGGTCTTATGAACTTTGTGCCCAGGCTGGCTTCAAACTGCAATTCTCCCAATCTCAGCCTCTTAAAGCCAGCTGCAGCTTCCCCTACTCTCTTAATGTGGGAAGACCTCAAAACTCCATTCTGGTGGTCTCCTCTATCTATAGTGACTTGCTAGGGACCCTTGCCAAGTGTTCATCAACCCCTTTGAAGAGCCAGAACCTCCAAAATGGGAACCTCCCTGAATGACCAGGTTTACCTGCAAGGAAGATCATTTAATTTAGGGACCTTGGTGTTGTCTGTTGTACAAACAGCTATCCAGGGATAGTCAACTTTTTTGATAAACTCAGAGCCAGCCAAGGTTCGGCCATCAGCTGCTTTTTACCTTCAGTGACTAGATCTTCCTTCCAAGAAAGGGTTTCTGTTGGCTTTGAAAGCCAGTGGCTTGAGGCAGAGGCAGTTTTGTTCTAGGAGAAAGCTCAGAAACAGTCTGAGCTTGGCTCCTGTTGCAGTAGGGGCGTGGTTTCTTCAGCCGGAAGGGTGGGGGGTGGGTAACAGGTTCCCTTGCCAACAAGAAATTGATGGATTCCTAGCCAAAAGCACAAGTGAGCAGGATGCCTTGGGGGGCAAGGCAGGGAGTGAGAATTACGGGAAGTTGACCTGAGGGTCTCATGGGCTGCTGTCACAGCTCAGCTGTGGCTTTCTGGGCTACAGCCTTTCTGAGAGCAGCCTGAAACCTCTGGGGTTCTAGTCAAAGGGAGTTACTGGCATGACTTGGCTCAGTTCAGCTGTGTGTGTGGGAAATGGTACTTAAAATCCAAGATTGTGTCTGAACCTTGATCTCCCTGGTTTGGCTTTGCTGTGGGGGCGAGGGAGGCATGGGTGGGCATAGGCCATAGTAGCATCTATACTGATATTAGAGGGAACATTAATAACAATAACAACCAGCCAGTGGCAGGGGACCAGCCACTGCCATGTAATAAACCCTTGCTAGGGGCCTGGGCTATGACAGGCGCTTTGCCTTGATTATCTCATTTCATCTATATAGCAACTCTCTGACAGAAATATCACTATTTCTGGTAGAGTGAAAAACTAAGGCATTGAACTCAGGGCCTCATGCTTGCAAGGCAGGCACTCTACCAGTTGGGCCACTCTGCCAGCCCTTTTTTGTGAAGAGTTTTTTGAGATAGGGTCTCATGAACTATTTGCCAGGGCTGGCTTCGAACCATGATCCTCCCAATCTCTGCCTCCTGAGTAGCAAGGATTACAGGCATGAGTCACCAGTGCCCAGTGCAGCTCTGCTTCTTTAGCAGCTTAGTGAACTTGTCACTAAGCTTCAGCATTCTCAGTTATAAAGTAGGGAGAATACTCTCCTCACCTGGGTTTACAATAGACCATTGTAACCTGGCTGATTGTGGTTGTTAATAAAGAATCATGAGTGCTCTTGTCAAGAAAAGAATGGTGGGCTGGGGGCATAGTTCAAGTGGTATACTGCCTGCCTAACAAGTGCAAGGTCCTGAGTTTGAGTACCGCCAAAAAAAAAAAAAAAAACAACTCTGAAAAGAAGACAGAGACTAGGTATGGTATGTAGCTCATTGATGGAACCCACGACTAGCATGTAGAAGGCTTGGGTTTTGTCCCCAGCACTACAAAAAAGAATAAAATGGAATGGAATAGGGTAAGGTAGGGTAATGTAGAGTACCACAGCCAATACAGCACAGCTCAGGACAGAATGCAATAGAGGACTGCCTAAATTTCCACGCTGGCTATGCCACAGGTTAGAACTTGGAAAAATCACCTTATCGAAGTCACTTTGCTTTGTGGGCTCACTTTATTGACACCAATGGTTCTCAAAAGTGTACAGCACCTGGGAAATTGTTAGCAGTGCAAATTCTTAGGATCCAACTGGACCTGAAACTCTAGGATGAGACCCAGTAGCTTGTGTTGTAACAAGTCCTCCACGTGATTGCAATGTACACGCAAGTTTGAGAATCACTGATTTGTGAAATGGTCTGGCTGAAATTTAGTCAGCCCCATAGGGCCCTTCTCTAATGCTGATATTCTGTGACTGTCTCTTCTGGTAGAGAACCACATGCTGACTCCCCAGGGACAGGGAGAGCCTAGAAGTAAGTTCAGACTTGCTGGTGGCAGGGAAATAGTGCATAACCCCCATGGCATTCTTTGGGACGTTTGCCCATCCTTCTTCCATGTGTCATCTTGTCTCCCATGTCCTCATGGTGCCCCAGTATCCCTATCCTTCCCTGTTTCCCCTTCTTCTCTTTCTGCCTTATTGCCTTTGCATTTGTGTTATGGGTGGCCCTGGGATGTTCTGCCTTCTGCATGGCAGGGCTGGCTAAGGTGGGAAAGGGATCTGGTGGCTTGGCTAACTAATAAATGTACCCTGTGTCTTTCAGTGACGTGTGTGTGCAGTGGTGTCCTCTCTCCCGGCACTGCAGCACTGAGAAAAGCAGCTCCATTGGCAGCATGGAGAGCCTGGAGCAACCAGGCCAAGCTACCTACGAGGGCCATCTCTTGCCCATTGACCAGAACATGTACCCCAACCAGCGTGACTCAGCCTATAGCTCCTTCTCAGCCAGCTCAAATGCCTCTGACTGTGCCCTTTCCCTCAGGCCAGAAGAGCCAGCCTCTGCAGACTGCATCACGCAAGGCCCAGAGCCAACTAAGGCCCCCAGTGGTCGGCCTAATGTATCTGAGACCTCAGGAAGCAGCCAATGCACCAATGGAGGCCACCTGACACCCAGCTCCCAGATGTCATCCCCCCCACAGGAGGGCCACCACTCAGGGCCTGCCAAGGCAGTCAGGGGCCCACCGCAACCTCCAGTGAGGCGGGACAGTCTTCAGGCCTCCAGAGCTCAACTGCTCAATGGAGAGCAGCGCAGGGCTTCTGAGCCTGTGGACTCCTTGCAACAGAGGGAGAAACCAAGCTCAGAGACAGGGCTTTCTCTAAGGAACCCTAACCGGTTCTGCTGCCTCAGCGGGCAAGACCAAGTGACAGGTGGGGGCCATCAGCACTGTGAGCTCAGCCAGCCTTCTGAATCCAGCCAGCAGGACCTTGAGCATCTATCGATGGAGGCATCAGCCAAAGCTGTTGGTTCCCCCAAAGTCTGTGACAAAGCTTCCAGTAGAGATCCCAGCCTTCCCAATGAGGCTTCAGCAGAGTTAGCTAAGATTTCCTCCTTTAGTGGCTCTCTACACACCACAGGACCCACAGGGCATCGCCACAGTGCCCCCGAACAGCTGCTAGCATCCCACCTGCAGCATACACATCTTGATTCCAGGGGCAGCAAAGGGATGGAAGCAGCATCTAGGCAGGATGGGCGTCAGTGGACTCTATCCCCTTTTCACAGCAACCACAAAGTGAAGAAAAGTCCATGTGCCCCTATAGGAGGAGCCCATGACCAGCCCAGTAAAGAAAGAAAGACCAGGCCAATGGACGATAAACCTGTGGGTCCAGGACACCAGAACCAAAGCAGTTCCCCACACGGAGAGGCTGATGGACACCCTCCAGAAGGAAGTTTCCTGGACCCAAGCAGAGCGAGCAGAACAGGCAGTGAATTGGGCAGCCAACAGCCCTCTGCCTCTGGCTCCCTCATTCGACAATCCAGAGACTGTTCTCAAACTACTAAAGTAGCTGGAAGCACAGAGGTGACTGAAGATGGGGACAGTGAGCCCAAGGAGTGTGGACGGATGGGGGGCAGGAGAAGTGGAGGCCCCCGGGGACGCTCAGTCCAAAACCGACGGAAGAGTGAGCGATTTGCTACCAATCTGCGCAATGAAATTCAGAGGAGAAAGGCCCAGCTCCAGAAGAGCAAAGGCCCCTTGTCACAGCTGTGTGACACCAAGGAGCCAGTTGAAGAGACCCAGGAACCTCCAGAAAGTCCTCCACTCCCATCCTCTAACTCATCTCTTCTATCTTCATATAAAAAACCTCCTAGCCCCAGAGACAAGCTCTTCAACAAAAACATGGTGCTCAGGGCTAGGTCTTCAGAGTGCCTCAGTCAGGCCCCTGACAGCCACGAATCTAGAATAGGCTTGGAGGGACAGACTAGCCCTGGCCAGAGGCCTTGCCAGTCCTCTTCAGACCTGAACACCTGGTGGAAAGCATCTGACCCATCCTCCTCAGACTCTGAGAAAGTAAATGCTCACTGTGGGGTCCTTGGAGGTCACTGGAGATGGTCTTCAGAGCATAAGCCACAGCCACATGTGGCACTAGCTATGGAAGGCCCTTCCAGCCCAGGTGACAACAAGGAATTGAAGGCTTCTACTGCCCCAGCTGGAGAGGAAGCTATCCTCTTGCCCTTTGCAGACAGAAGAAAGTTCTTTGAAGAGAGTAGTAAATCCTTATCCACATCTCATTTGCCGAGTTTAGCAACTCATAACAACAAGACTTTTACTCAGAGACCAAAACCAATAGACCAAAACTTCCAGTCAATGAGCTCCAGCTATAGGGAATTGAGGCGCCATCCCACAGACCAATCATATCATTCCACAGACCAACCATATCATGCCACAGACCAATCATATCATCCCATGTCACCCCACCAGTCAGAGACTCCCACTTACTCAGAATGCTTTGCGAGCAAAGGTGTAGAAAACTCCATGTGTTGTAAGCCGCTGCATTGTGGTGATTTTGATTACCACAGGACCTGTTCTTATTCCTGCACTGTTCAGGGAGCTGTAGTCCATGACCCTTGCATTTATTGTTCTGGGGAAATCTGTCCTGCCTTGCTAAAGAGAAATATGATGCCAAACTGCTACAACTGCAGGTGTCACCACCACCAGTGCATTCGGTGTACAGCTTGCTATCATAATCCTCAGCACAGTGCCCTTGAGGACACCAGCTTGGCCCCTGGCAATGTTTGGAAACCCCGGAAGCCGATGGTGCAGGTGAGGACCTGGTTCTCTGGGTGGGTAAGCATCATTATTCTCCTTATGGGGAGGATAATTCCTTAAAATGGTGCAACCCAGTCTCTGCCAGACACCTGTGTGTCTTCAAAGTTAGATAAAAGTAAATTTTGCCCCATAAAATGAACAGAACTAGGATTTCTATCCTGACTGTAAAGCTGCTATCTGAGGGACCTTAAGCAAGTCACTTAACCACCATAATTTGAAGCTATATGATTTTTAAAAGGAAAAAATAATATTTAACCTCATAAAATAGCCAGTACTAAGAAAAGTCTTATTGCCTCATATCCAAAGTAGAATAAAATCATGGCTGCTTCATGGATCAGTAGTGAGGATGAAATGAGATTGTGTATGTACAGTGCCAGGTCCAGTGCCTGATACAAAACAGCATTTCCTGCCTTCCATTTCCTGCTTATAGGTTTTTTTTTGGAGGGGGTGGTACTGGGGTTTGAACTTAAAGCCTCATGCTTGAGGCAGGTGCTCTACCACTTCAGCCACTCCACCAGCATTTCCTGCTTAAAATATATTTGGAACTGCAAAATTTGCAGATGTCCCCCAGACTTTGCTTTCAAAGTTCTGGTTTGTCTTATTTTTTTCAAGGACAGGAGACCCTGATCCAAACTGGCTGTTGCTATGCTCTGGTTCTAACCTATAACCCTAACACAACCTCTTACCATCTCCCAGAGTACTTCTGGGAGGCACCCCGATATCTTTGCTTATTCACTACCAGATTTCTCCCTAGTGGCACCTTTTGGTTGTTGTGGTCAAACCAGAAGTTAATTCCTATATTGAACTATTGTTTCTTAGGCAGACACTTCTGTAATGGCTTAGTGTTTGAAACTCCTCAGTATGTATTTGAAAAACAGGAACTTTAAAGTGAAAGGAGCCTTACACAGTAATAATTCATATTATATATAGTTCTAAAATGGCTCTTCTATGGGAAAAATTGAGACAGTGTTTGCCAATGGAGGTGGTACAGAGACTGACTGAAAAAGGACATGACAGCATACTCCCTATCTTGGTAAGGGTTAGATTTACACAGGTGTATTCATCAAAATTCAGTAAATGTGCCCTTAATATGTGTGTATATCATGGGAAGTAAAGTTTGCCTAAAAATGTTTTAAGCAAATATCAAACTTCACTTAATATGGGTGCTGAATTGTTTTTGAAATATACAGGTATACATAACTTATAGTTTTCACCAGCATACAAGTTTGTTTTTGGTGGGACTGGGGTTTGAACTCAGGCTTCATGCTTGCAAAAAAGGTGCTCACAAAGCAGACACTCTACTGCTTGAGCCACACTTCACATCCATTTTGTTCTGGTTATTTTGGAGATGGGGGTCACACAAACTATTTGCCTGGGCTGGCTTGAACCCATGATCCTCCCAATTTCAGCCTCCTAAGTAGCTAGGATTACAGGCATGAGTCGCTGGCACCTGGCTTCAGCATGCAAATCTTATACATATTTTGTTATACTTATCCCTAAGATTTCATGGGTTTTGATGCTGTTGTAAATAATATTGTTTTCTTAATGTCAAGTTAAAATTCTTTGTTACTACTGTGTAGAAATATAGTTGAACTTTATATACTAGCCTTGTGCCCTGCAGCCTTACAAAACTCACTGATTAATCCTAGTAGCTTTTAAGATTATGAAAGACTTCATACTTAGGCGATCACGTCACATAGGAATAGAATTTTTTTTGCAGTCCTAAGGATTGAACTCAGGGCCTTGTACTTGCTAGGCAAGTGCTCTGCCACTTGAGCCACACCCACAGAACTTTTGTTTTAATTTTATTTTTGAAACAGGTTCTCATTAACTTTGCCTGAACTGACCTCAAACTCTTGATCCTTTTGCCTCTCGAGTAGCTGGAATTGCAGGCCTACACCATTATGCCCAGCTTTTGAAAGAATTTTATTTATTTCTTCCTTTCCACTCTGTATGCCCTTTCCTGGAGGAGATAGGAGCCGTACTGCACTGTCCTCCAGTACAATGTTGGACAGAAGTGGTGATAGCAGACATTATTGCTTCATTCTTAATTTTTCACTGTAAGTTTGATGGTAGCTGTAGCTTTTTATGTAGATGTCCTTTATCAAGTTAAGGACACACCCTTATATTCTCAGTTTCTGAGAGGTTTTTTAAATCAGGAATGGATTTGGAATTTTTTTTCAAATGTTTTTTCTGTATCTGTTGAGATAAACATATAAGTTTTCTCTTTTTGTCTATTTGTATGGTGAATTACATTTATTGGTTTTTTTTTTAAATAAGCAACAGCCTAGCATTGCCAAGACATAGTATCTTTTTTATATGTTATTGTACATTTGATTTATTCATATTTTGTTGACTATTTTTTGCATCTATGTTTATCAGGGATTTTGGTCTATAATTTGTTATGTATCTTTGCCTGATTTTTGTATCTAGATAATGCTGGTCTTAAAGAATGATTTGGGAAATACTCCCTTCTCTTCTATTTTCAGGAAGAGGTTGTATAGAATTGGTATTCTTTCTCCTTTAAATTTCTGCTAGAACTCATCAGTGAAGCCAGCTGGGCCTGGAGGTTTTTTGTGGGAAGGTTTTAACTAGAAGTTTATTATGGGGTCATTTAGATTATATATTTCTTCTTGAATGAGGCATTTCATTTAAGTTTTCAAATTTATGCAGATAAGATTGCTACAACTTATTTTGAAGTGCATCCAGAATTTAAGATGGGCTGGTGGATGAATAGAAGGGTAAACAGATATATGGTAAGGTACATATAGCAAAATGTTAATTGTAGAATCTAGGTGGTAGATATATGGATGTTCAGTGTAAACATATTTCAACTTTTGGTATGTTTGAAAATATTCACAATGTTGGAAAAAGAAGAGGAAATATGGAATAATGATTGAAGGGCACTGGAGCTGCAATCAGACTACCTGGGTTTGAATTCCTTTCCAAGAACTTACAAGGTTTTCCATCTTGAAAAGACTGAAGATAATAGCAGCACCTGCTTCTTAAGTTAGTTGTGAGGATTAAATGATTTAACATTTGCAAGGCCCTTAGAACAGGGTCTGCCAGATCATAATCATCTTATAAGTTAGCTATTATTTTTTTAAGATAAGAAAGATTTTGGTTCAGTTTGAGAAGTTTTGACTGAAAGAAGGACTTACAAATAGATAATAGAGCAAGGGAGCTAAGGAAAGGGGAAATAAAGAAGTTGATGGCTCAGGATAAGCCACTGTGAAAAGGAAGGAGGTTTAAATGGCAGGGGCAGCAGTGGGCAGCAGCAATGCAGGTGAGCCTGTGCCTGTCCACGCCTTTCCCTTTGTGCTTAGAGGGAGGGATACATTGGGTTCCTAATGCCTGTTAGACTGGCTAAGCAGCTCTGCTTAGATACTAGGCTTTCCGATATGTGGATGGCTGTCTAGGAGTCGCTGCGTTGCCCCTGTAACCTGAACCCTCTCTCCACAACCCCACGAGACCTGGGGAAAAGTTGCAGTGTGGGTTGAGATGCTATAGCTCCAGTGATTAAAGTGGGGGCTGTCTGAAGTAGGGTTGAGATTCTGCGCCTTTTGCCACCAGAGAAAGTAGGGGAGCTAATTGCCTTCTATTCAGTGCTATTAGGAGAATGGAAAGCAGCACACACTCACATCCCCGTTAGTTTTGCATGCATTGTAAGATTGGGTCACTCAGCACTTATGAGATAAATCATAATAGGAACCTCATTTTACAGCTGAAGAAACTAAAACTCACAGAGGTCACACATTTCGTAAGCAGCAGGGCCAGGTTTTGAACAATACCAGTGACTGATATTTGGGTGTCCATTGGGTCCTAGGTGCTTTAGATCAACTCCAAGTCCTCAGGCAATCAAGCAATACATACTCTCACACTACCATATAGCTGGGAAAGTAAATTAAAGGAACATTGAGAACACACAGCTAGTGAGGGGCAGGTGTGGGATTTGAAGTCCTGCTATCTAGCTGCAGAGGCCAAGATCCTGAATGAGCCACACTGCCTCTCCAGTGGATCACAAATCCCAGGCCTTCTCCAATACCACAGCCTTCTAGCAGTATCACTTCCACTAGGCAGCAAATTCCACCAGGATCCCCAACTACCAGCCAGGGGTTTACTGCCATTTTGGTTCAAAGGGCATAGACCATTTACAGGAACCTAAATGGCTCAGGGAGAAAAAAAGTAGGTGATACCAGGAATCTGGGAAGGCAGTTGGGAGCGTGGGGAGAGGACTTTGGTTTGGCTACTGCTATTTTCCGAGTAGATAAATGGTACCAACAGGCACAGCCAGATCTTTCTATGTGCCAAGCACTGTGCTAGGCGTTCTCTCTGGACATCTCATTTAATCCTCACTCGTGGTAATCCAGCAAGACTAGACAGCATATCCTTATTTGCCAGATAGGAAGCTGAGGATCTGGGAGGTGACAGAACTTCCCTCAAATAACACAGCTAATAAATGTCTTAGCCAGTATGAGTGATATCAAATCCTGTATTCATTCTGCTTTACCTTGTATCTGATCCCCAAAGGGGATACCTACTGGAATAAAGGCAGTACAACCTTGAATAGGACTAATAATAACAGCACCAGAGTAAAATAATTTGGAAGATCAATGAGGTTTAAGAATAACTGCATTTCCATTAGGTTAAGCTCCAAGTCTCTAGGTAGACGGTGCTGAATACAAAATTGGGAAGAATCAGAAAAGCAAATTTACACTAAGTTTGGAGCTAGAAAAGGAAGGCAGGGCCATTTTTTATAAATGGCACACATGGCTTGTCTGGAAGGAAAAGAGTTACTCGAGCATGGTGACTAAGGAAAACATGCCCAGGGCAGAGAGTCTGTAGTGAGGGGACCATGGCATCCGGCGCTCATGGCCCCTGAGATGAGCCCACTTCAGCCCCTGCCAGCAGATGTGGGCAGAGGAGGAAGAACGGCTGCAGGATTGCAGGATGGGGGTGGCTGGCATGCCTGCCTTGCCTCTGCCCACCCTGGGAGAGGGTTGCCCCCTCAAGGCCAGGGCTTGCAAGAAGATGCTTTCTGTATTGGAAGAGGCAGGAGGAATGAGCAGGTTCATCCAGTAAAACAAACAAAAGGACCTCCATCCCTCATTGCAGGCAAAGCCAGAGCAAACAACAAACATGCTAAACTGGTTTTCACTGTGGTTTGGGAGGGAGTGGAGCGAGAGGGAATGCAGTGTTCTAGCCCACAGTGTCCAGGTCGCTGAGCGCTTTCTCCATGCCTGCGTGCCTGCAGCAGCTCAGCAGGCCTCCTGACACCTAGAAGGCTACCTTTCTGTCAGGTGCATGTTTCCCTAGCCTGCCTAGGAAAGTAGGTGGTACCACTTACAGGGCCTGGCCAGGGACAGGTTCCTGACTGCCTGGTGATTTTGAAACCATCTAGATACCTGAGTGTTCAGAGCTCTCTAACTTATCAGCATTTTGCTTTGCAGGAATTTTCTGGGGACAAATGGAAACCAATAACAGGAAACAGGAAGACTAGCCAATCAGGGAGGTAAGTGACCACTCAGGGAGTTGGGGTTGAGCTGGTGCCTCTGGGACTTCTATCGGAGTTGTTAAGGTCTTCGGTTTGCTTAGTTTCCTTTGAGGAAATTGGTCTGGAATCCATACCAAGCACTTGGTGTCATGGATGGAATCCACCCTGCTCCCGAGACAGCTACGTAAGACCCAACTGATTGTGAGATCCTTTTGAAATATGCAACATTCAGGCAGTGTTTTGGGACTTTATGGTGGTCACTTGGAGGCCTGAGGTAGCCTTGGCGAGGCAGACCCAAGGACATGTGGACCATATTCTGTAGAAACAGAAATGAGAAGGCATAAGCTGTGCCTGCCTTCCCAGTGGCCATGGGAAAACTGGAACAGGCAGTGCCTTTGCCCCAGAGTTGTTGGAAGTACCTGCATCTTGACTTTTGCCACCATTCTTCTAATAGGGCTTGCTGAAAACTTAAGGTCTGCTCAATAATATCCTAGATACAGATCATGCTGACCAGAGGGCATAATTCCTAGAGAAGGGAGGGACATTTTTACAAATATCACATGTGGCTTGGGATAAAAATAAAAGAGCTTCTTGGACACACCTTAAGGAGAAAGCTCCCAGGGTGGAGAGTCTACTTCTGGAATGTGGGGATCATGGTGACTATGAGGCATAAACAGTTAGCTTCTCCAGGATTGCTCTCTATAAGCCTGGCCGGACCTGTCTTTGTCAGATTCCTTGATTCACTCTTTCAGTTTTTCCTCAGACCAAATGACACAAGAGGCCTCACAATTATATTGGTTCCTAATTCAGACTCCAGAATAAAGAAAGAGACAGGAAAGAAGGCTTCAAGCTGTGCCATGTTCTCCAAGGTGAAGGCACCGAGAGAGAGGACTAGAATCTGTGTCTCCTGACCCCTGAAGAGTCAGAGACTCTTGGGGTGAATGCACTCTGATTTGATGATAAGGAATTATCTTGGCTTTTCTTTGACACCAAAGCCTGAACATTCTATTAGTTTTCTGGGTTTTGATGGGGAAGGAAAAGAAACCAATGTTTGTTAATCAGCCACTAAGTGTCAGTCTTTGAGCTCAGCCCTTTTACATTCAAAATTACATTTATTCTCTTCAGCAGTTCTTTTGCTGCCTTTTCTTTTAGACGAGGCCCAGAGAAGTAGTATAACTTAGCCGAGGTCACACAGATAATAAGTGATGGAGCTAGGTTTTAAACAGTATGGCCTCCAAAGTTCATGATTTTTCCGTGAGGATCCCCAAAGAAAGAGTTCAACAGGTCCCTTAACAGCATGTCTCAGGGAACCTAAGTACTGGATTCTGTGGCTGGTCTCGATCCCCATCTCTGGAATAGTGCACAACGTCCTCAGGAAAATCATTTCAGTCTAGTGAGCCTGCCAAATTTCCTACATTAGACTGAGACCGCCAAGAGAGGCAAGCATATATCAGGCCTAGCCTTATTCTCTGCACCTGACACAGAGAAGTTGCTTGGGTAGCATTTATCATCTGTTTGCCAAGTGAAGATACAGAACCTACTCACTATTAAATGGGTGAAAGGACACACAAAAAATAATGCTAACCAACATTTCTTTCTTTTTGCCATGCTGGGATCCCCAGGGCCTTGCACATGCTAGGCAAGTACTCCACTACTGAACCAACACCCAGCTGCTAAATAATGTTTCATGAGCTCAATTCTCTGTTTTAGGCACCATTCAAAGCATTTTACAAGTTTTGATTTATCACTGTGACCTTATGGGAAAAGTATTAGTAGTCTTTCCCTTTGATAAAGAAGAAACTGAGGCACACACAGATACATTCATTTGCCTCAAGTCACACAGCTAGTAAGTCAATTAGGCAGACCCAGGCAGTCTCTAGTTTCAGAGACACTATGCTACAGTATGATGCTTCTCAAAAATGGTTCTTCTGGCCAGGCACTGGTGGCTCACATCTATAATCCTAGCAGTTTGAGTGGCTGAGATCAGGAGGATTGCAGTTCAAAACCAGCCTTGGCAAAAAGTTCAGGAAACCCCATCTTGACCAATAGCTGCCTGTGGTGGCATGCATCTGTCATCCCAGCTATGTAGGAAGCATAAAATAGAAGGATCGTGGTCTAGGCCAGCAAAAAGTGAGACCTTGTCTTGGAAATAACCAGAGCATAAAGGACCAGAGGAGTGACTCAAATGGTAGCGTACCTGCCTAGCAAACCGCAAGCTGTGAGTTCAAACCCCAGTATCACCAAAGCAGAAAAATGGTTCTCCTGATAACTGGTCAGTGAAGAAGACTTTCTTAAAACCCTTGCATAGGCACTGCCTTTTGCTAGGCAAGGCGGGAGATGCTAGTGAAAGAGCAGCAGGAAGCACAGTGCCTGCCAGCAGCTTGAGCAGGGGAGACTGACCCGTGCAAAGTTAAACAGCAGTAATAATATATCACCATTGCCAAACAACTTAAGGGCCATGAGCCAAGTCATAGCACATAGGGCATGCTTTACTTCCCCAACAATTCTGCCAGGTCACTGTCTGTCATTATGTAGGGTAGTGAGTCTCAGACTTGAGATTGTTGAAACACGGGAGCTGGACCCAGCCCTCAGAGAGTCTGATTCCATAGGTGTGGAGTTGAGCTCAAAATCTGTATTGCTCACAAGCCCCCTGGGTGGTGCTGGTGAAGCTGGTCCTGAGATCACACTTTTAGAAAGAACCACTAACTCAGATAAAGATTCTGAGGGTCAGAGAGGCTAAGTAATCTACTCAGGGCCTCACAGCTAGCAAGGGGACAAGCCCATATTTACCAGCTTTTTCTTACTCCACAAGTTACTAGAAGGTAAAACCTTCAAATACGGGCTTTAAACAAGAAGCACCTGGCCCTGGTGAGGGGCCAATACACAAGTGTATCTGTGCTTCGTGTCAGTTCATTGACACAAAGCAAGTAAGAAAACTGAAGGTGGGGAGCTGCAGAAGGAAGGCAGAGAGGAGACTTCCTCTTGCTTCTGGGAAGAAGCAATCCTACTGCCATGGTATTTGTGACTTCAGAGTTAGTCCTACTTGAGTTCAAATGCAGGTTCTTCCATTCAGTAGCCATGTGGCCTTGACAAGTGCCTGCCCTTCCTTTCCCTTCCCATCTTGCTGTCACTCTGTCACTGACTCTCTCTCTCTCTCTCTCTCTCTCTCT